GGGGCGGTATACCGAGTTTGGGCGGCGGGGGCGGTGCTGATGCGGAGGGGAGAAGACTGGGGGTGGGGGGGTGATGGTTAGGTAGTGGTTTTTTTTTGTCTTTCTTTTGTTGTTGTTTTACTTCAGGGGAGGTAGGCGTCTTCTTCTTCCTTCCTCCTTCATTCTTTTCCCGGTATCTTCCCCTCCTTTCTTTTTTCCCCATCCCAATCGCTCACAAACTCATGATGTTGTTTCTTCTACGACGCATCTCTCATGTCTCATGTCTCACGCCTCACGCCTCACGCTCCTCCACGACTTTCACGTTCTCTTACGCTTTATGCCTCTTACGCCCTCGACACGGCAATTTCTTTTTCCTTTCCTCCTTTCCTCCCTCTCACCCCGCTACACCCTAGGCTACACAAAGTACCACGACTTCACGACTACGATTTAAAAAAAAAATACTACAGTTGTATTGATATTATGTGTGTATATGTATGCTGTTTGTCTTGTTTGGGGGTTGGTCCTGATGGTGGAGAAGGAATGGTGGATGGCGAGTGGTGAATACTCAACATTCAACATTCAACATTCAACACTTGACGCTTAGCACTCAACCCTAGTCATCAACGGTATACCGTGTAATACAAATACTAATACTAAAGCAGAACCTTGGTATATCTATACGTATAAGTCATGACAATCCACGCCATGCCCGTCTCATTACCTGGCGCAGTGCAGTCTACACCACAGGCTACACCACAACACAAACCGCCCAATCTACAACAGCATCCCAGCAGAGCGTGTATGAAGCGGGGCAGCTCATGTCACATCGCGTCAATGTGTTCACTTGGATAAAAGGCTTGGGTACGACTTGCTAGCATATTCATTGTCGGGGCTGCGTTTACAAGTGCATCTCCATACATCCGTCCCCAATCTCATCCGTCATCCATCATCCGCCATCCGTCATCCATCCCCATCTATCCTCCAGGTAAGTCGGAGTCCATCCCCCATTCCGATACCCCTTGTCTGTATACATGTGCCACAACGCATGCAGTCGGCAACTAAAAGAACCTCTTCATAGGCACATTGCAAGCCACAGTGTGAACAAAAAAAAATCCCAGCCATGGCCATTGTGAAAAAAGGAGCGGCGGGGTGCGGGATAAGCCGATTTCGAAAAAACGAGATCGGAAAAAGAGAAAAAAAAAGTTGGTGGTCATGATCATAATATGCACAGAAAAAAAAAGAAAGTTTGGGTTGGAAAACATGGAAACAAGTCATCTAGGAGCGGATGACGACACCCTGTCTCCGTGTGCTCTTCTCCTCGTACACGTACTCGTCCTCGCTGGAGCAGTCGCTCGAGTCATCGCTGTAGCCACAGCGTGCACCTCCACAGTCCAACTTGACGCGGTCGCCGGCGCGCGTGATACCAAAGCGCTCGCACGTGCAGCAGCTGCTTCCAGAGCTGACGCTGGACGGGCTTGAGCTGTTGGTAGAGCGGGAGGTCAGGGAGGGCACGTCGCTGCCGCTGTCCTCGGAGTCGTACTCGCTGTCGTCGTCTTCTTCCGAGGACTCCTCGATGCTTTGCTTGGCGAAGCGGCGGTTGAGCTCCTCGAGCGTCGTCTTGTCGTATTGCGTGTTGATGACTTGGCGGGTCTGGTGGGGACGCTGGGGCTTGGGGGCGACGATGCGTTCGGGGGACATGCCGCGGCCTTTGGCGACGGATGCGGTGGAGACGCGGCGGGCCTTGCGGTCAGCGGAGGAGGTGGTGCTTGACTTCTTGGCAGCGGGGATGTCGATGATGTTGAGTTTGCGACCGGTGGTGGGCTCGGTGGTGTGGTCCTTGGCAGGGTCGTGCGAGACGTGGTAGCCGTCGATGATGTACTATTGGTGGACATATTAGCATGCGTGTGTGATGATCAATGTTATGGGTGGTACGCACGTAGTACCAGTATCGTTGGCCTTGCTTCAGGGTAGCGCCTTGAAACTTGAAGGTTCCGACCCATCCTCCCGACTTCTTGGAGTCCTTGGAAAGGGGAAGTTGACCTTGGTAGCCGTCCCATGAGCCGAGAAGGTGGACGGTCTTGCAGTTGGAGGAAGTGCGGAGAGTGAAGTTGAGTTGGATGGCGGCCATTGTGAATTGTTTGTTTCTGATTCTTCTTCTGTGTTTTGAAACGGTGATATTATGATTTTTCTTTCTTTCTTGATTCGTTGCGTCGCCCGGGCCAAGCTAATGGATAGACGTCTGGAATTGCTGCTGGAGCTGTGGTGCAAAAGGTAGTATTGCTGAAGGGTTCTGCGAGTTGTGCGTGGATTGTCGTGTTTTGGTTTTCAAGTTTGATGTTGAGCAAGTAGAGCTGTGTATTACGTGTATGTGGACCGGCCACAAAAAAGGATGAATTGAATTATTGTAGGGGGTTTGTGAAAAGGGTTGCGGTAGTATAGTATTGATTATTAGATGGCACCAGGCCTGGGGGAGAGAGGAGGGGGAAGGGGAAGGGGGGTAAAACGATGCCCGCCATACCGGCGTATTGAGGTCCCTGGATTTCC